GATACCAAAAGCAGCAAGAAGAGGAGTACTCTCTTCATTTCTCTCTCTCTCTCTCTCTCTCTCTCTCTCTCTCTATATATATATATATATATATATATATATATATATATATATGTATATACAGTGTAACCCGGATATAAGAGAGTTGTCGGGACCGGAGAAGAAGTCTCTTATATCCGGGTTTCTCTTATATCCGGGTTTGGTCTATTTTATATACATTAACACAGGCTCTAATTTGAAGACCAGAGAAAATCTCTTTTATATCCGTGTCTCTTATATCCGTGTCTCTTATATCCGGGTCTCTTATATCCGGGTTACACTGTGTATATATATATATAATTTTCTTTCAGGATCGGAGAGGTAACGACCCTCCACAACTCTCTTTCTTTTCTTGCTTTTAAAGATACTTTTAATTTACGACTAACATTTTACTTTGTTATTACTATTATTTTCTTAGTATACCAACATATTTCAGGATAATGCCTCTCCACAGCTTCGTTATTTTTATTATGTGCGGATTTTGGGGAATATAGTGGAGTGGTTTCTCTCCTCTTTTGAATTACTCGTTTTCTTTCTTTTCTTCAGGATTTAATGCGATCATGGCTCTCCATATTTTCTTTATTATCTCTGAATTGCAATAAACTTTTGTCGGGGATAATGGAATGGTTCGCCTTGTCTTTATTTTTATATACATATATATCATTTTCATACACTTGCATATATATATATATATTTAGAAAAATTGTATGACAAATTTCTTATCACTGTTTGCTAATATATACAATTATATAAAATTATATATCGTTTTACCATATATATATATATATATATATATATAGTTTATGCAAATTTAGGTAATCCTTATGGGTAGACCTGAGGAGGATGATATCCAGAGAGCTCAATGTAAAATTCAGAGCAGATATGTTTGAATAAAAGACAGACCACGTTAAGATTCCATGTAATAAGCTATTTCACCATAACCCCTTATTTATGGTGAAATAGCTTATTACATGGAATCTTAACGTGGTCTGTCTTTTATTCAAACATATATATATATATATGTGTGTGTGTGTGTGTGTATTGTCTATTTAAGCAGCATTCTTTCATTTTTACATGTTTCATTAAAGACGACAAACATATAATACGTTTGAGCTTTTTATATAGATTTTCGTGTGTTCTGTGATTCTGACCATTTAAATTAAAAAGTAAAAATAAAATCACCCTTGATAATGGCTAAATGTATAGCCGAAACCACTCGGAATTATAGAATATTTGGACAGTTTCTACACATCTCTGTATCTCAAAAAGAAAAACACTGGTTTTAACACAAAAAAATAAATAAAAAAGCAATCATAGTACCTATATATATATATATATATATATATATATATATATATATATATATATATATATATATATATATATATATATATATATATATATATATATATATATATATGTGTGTGTGTGTGTGAATTGGGATCGAATATCGATTAGAATTAGACAGTATGATAGGATAAGGAACAAATATGATGAAGCTTAAATAAAAGCGAAACATGTTAAATTTATCAACGTTTCCTATTTGTTCTTTATCGTACCATATATATATATATATATATAGTACCAAAGCTTTTTAAAAGAAGGTTTCAAATCGGCCACGCGTAGAAGATGTAATAATTTGCAAGTAAATAAATGAGTAAAAAGCACAAATAAAAATTTTCAGTGCTGAACATCCAATAAAACATACTAGTGGAAAATACAAACATAAAAACCGCATTCATCTGTAAAAAAACGATTAAAAATAATGAAAGTCTTTATAATGAAAAAGAAAAAGCCAACACTTAACAATATTAACTAAGAACACGGCCACAATGTGTTGTATTCGTAAAATAAAGCTTCTCTATAATACTAAAAAGCATACACACAACGCACACAATCAATTAAATTGAAAAAAATAAAATCATCCTTGATAATGGCTAAATGTATAGCCGAAAGCCCTTGGAATTATAGAATATTTGGACAGTTTCTACACACTCTGTGTCGAGAACAGAAAACATTTGTCCGAATACAAGAAAAAAATAAATAAAAAAGCTTAATCGTAGTACCTTGTCTGTCGTCTCCACACACACACACACACACACACATATATATATATATATATATATATATATATATATATATATATATATATATATATATATAATTTTGTTTAAAAAATATGATTCCTTCCTATCATAAGAATTCTCATGTTTTAAAACGAGCATCTTCCATCAAATAATTATTAAAATTAATTTGAATTGAGAAGATGAAACCCGGACTAAACACCTTTAATTTCAACTTAATTTTAATAATTATTTGGATGGTTTCGGCTCTCGTTTTTGAAACATGAGAACTCTTATGTAGCGAAGGAAACATATTTTTAAACAAAAAAAAATTATAATATAATATAAGCTCTACTTCTGTATGGAGCACTGTCTTCTTAAAATAAAAACAAAATTCTAAGGAACCCCGGATTATGCACCCAACGTGTTCTTTTTCTATTTTCTGCATACCTGCGCACTTATACACACACACACACACACACACACACACACACACACACACACATATATATATATATATATATATATATATATATATATATATATATATATATATGTTAAAATCCATTACTTAACATAGTACATTTCTGTATTATGTATATGCAAATTATATATATAGATATGTATTAGATATATTTCTTTCATTAAAAATAAATAAATAAATAATGAGGATTTTAGTTGTACGCTACAATTTCCCGGGAGCTTCAAAATCATCTGTTATATTTGAAAATATTTCTTAGTACCATTTGCACTAAAATAGAAGAATATGGATAGAAACAATGTTCTTTTCTTGTAGTGTCAATTTCTGAAAGTCTAGAATTTATTTATTCCTATTTTCCTGATATTTGTCAGCTCAAAGAGCTCGGCTCATTAAACAATATAAACAATTTCAAAATGAAATATTTTCTCAATTTGTATGTTTTTTCCGTGTATAAATTGCATCTTCAGTACCAACGTACATATGTTTTTTATGTCTATTCTTATATATATATATATATATATATATATATATATATATAATTTTTAAAAATACGTTTCCATCGCGAAGCATAAATGATTATGTTTCAAAACCAAAACTTAAATTAAACTTAAAATTTGAAGTTCAGTTCCATTTTCAATCGATTATTCTTAGTATCGCTTGAAAATGGAGCTAAATTTCAAATTTAACGTTTAATTTAAGATTTAATTTTTGGTTTTGAAATATAGTAATTCTGTGTCGCGATGGAAACATATTTAAAAATAATTATAATATTATGCTCTCTCTCTCTCTCTCTGTATATATATATATATATATATATATATATATATATATATATATATATATACATTTTGTCAAATGAACTTGAAGCCTGATTAACAAATGTAAATCTAACATTACTAAAATAAAATACTAGAATTTACTTTTTCTGCCATGACTTTTTCTCTGACGAAGACTTTTTTTAATAAAGTGAAATATATTAGACTTGTTTCCTATTTGTTCTATATTGTAGCCTGTCATATATATGTGTGTGTGTTTGTGCGAAAGAAAGACAGAGAGAGACAACAAGAGGGAAAGGAAGAAAAAAGAAAGAAAATGAAGAAGTACGTAGAAGGAGGAAAACATGCGAAAGAGAGAAGGGAGGGGAAGAAAATGGCAGTGAAGATGAGAGAGAAGGAGTACGTAAGTTGCAAGAGCTGAAGAAGAATGATATGGATGGTGAAAAGGAAGAAGAAGAAAAAGCCACGAAAAGAAGAAGTAAAAAGAAAAGAAGATAAAAGAGGGAAATGAGATACAGGAATTAAAAGACAAGAAGAAAAAAAAGAAGAAAAACAACAGCAACGAAGAAAGGAAAGAAAAAGAAGGAGCAAGAAGCAAACACTAAAAAGTTAAGAAAAAGAGCAATTACAAGCTGTCGAAGTAAGGCAAGAAGACAGAAGGAGACGAAAGAAAGAAAGAAAGAAAGAAAGAAAGAAAGAAAGAAGGTGTGTAGAGGGGAAAAAAGAGAAAGCTTAATGATACGATGAAAGATATAAAAGAAAATGGAATAAGCTAGAGAAAAAACGAGAAAGGAGGAGGAATTTGAAACAGGCACAGTATTAAAAGAAAGAAAGAAAGAAAAGAAAAAAGAAAGAAGGTGAGTAGAGGGGGAAAAGAAAAGCAATGATACGATGAAAGATATAAAAGAAAATGGAATAAGCTAGAGAAAAAACGAGAAAGGAGGAGGAATTTGAAACAGGCACAGTATTAAGAAAGAAAGAAAGAAAGAAAGAAAGAAAGAAAGAAAGAAAAGGTGATAATTAAACACAGAGAAAAGGATAATGGAATGAAAGAAAAAAGAAAGTGATGAAAAAAAGAAAGAAAGAAAGAAGGAAAGAAAGAAAAGGTGATAATTAAACAAAGAGAAAGAAAGAAAGAAGAAAGTGATGAAGAGAGAAAGAAAGAAAGAAAGAAAGAAAGAAGGAAGGAAGAAAGTGACGAAGAAAGAAAGAAAGAAGAAAGTGATGAAGAAAGAAAGAAAGAAAGAAAGAAAGAAAGAAAGAAAGAAAAAATCGTCATTATTAAGGAAAGAGAAAAGGATATTGGAAAGAAAGAAAGAATACAAACATGTAATGAAAGAGGAGAAAGGAAATACAAAACCAACAACAGGCATAAAATGAAAGAAAAAAAAAGAAAATTTTCAAAGTAAGACAAGATAAATAAGAAATTACCAAAAAAAGAAAGAAAAAAGTAAGAAGGGGAGAAAGAAAGAAAATTGTTAATGTCAGACAAGAAGGAAGAGAAGAAAAATGAGAGAAATTAAATAAAAGAAATAGAAGATAAATAAAGAAGAACAAGGATACCAACGAAGAAAGAAAGGAAAACAAATGTACAAGAGTGACAAATGGTAAAAAGTCAAGAAAAAGTGGAATTGCACGCTGTCAAAGTAAGACAAGAAAAAGAAGAAGAAGAAGAAGAAGAAGAAAGAGAGGCAAATAGAAGAAGAGGGAGGAACAAGAAAGAATAGAACAAGAGATGATAAAAAAGGAAAAAAAAACAATGAAATTGAGAAAATGAAAGTTAGAAAGAAAGAAAGTGTGAATAAAATAAAATAAAAAGTGGAAAACATCGAGGAAGAAAGAAATATGAGTTCGAGAGCGAGAGAAAAAAAGATGAAATGTGATAAAAAAGATAAAACGAGAAGAAGTGAAGAAGGCGTGTGTGTGAGAGAGAGAGAGAGAGAAGTAGAGAGAGAAAATACAAGAAATGGATAAAAGAGATGGAGAGACAGAGACGCGAGAGATGCAAAAAGGGACCAACAGAGAGATACAGAGAGAGAGAGAGAGAGAGAGAGAGAGAGAGAGAGAGAGAGAGACAGAGACGGGACAGATGCAAAAAAAGAAAGATCGATCGATAGATAGATAGATAGATAGATAGATAGATAGATACGCGAGATGCGAGAAGAGATCAAGAGAGAGAGAGAGAGAGAGAGAGAGCCAGAGAGAGACGGCACAGATGAAAAAAAGAGATAGATAGATAGAGACGCGAGAGATGCAAAAAACATGCAACAGAGATACACACACACACAGAGAGAGAGAGAGAGAGAGAGAGAGAGACAGAGACAGAGACGGGGCAGATGCAAAAAGATAGATAGATAGATAGATAGATAGATAGATACCTGAGATGCGAGAAGAGATCAGTACAGAGAGAGAGAGAGCCAGAGAGAGACGGCACAGATGCAAAAAAGATAGATAGATAGATAGATAGATAGATAGATAGATAGATAGACAGAGACGCGAGAGATGCAAAAAGAGATCAACAGAGAGATACACAGAGAGAGAGAGAGAGAGAGAGAGAGAGAGAGAGAGAGAGAGAGGCAGAGACGGGACAGATGCAAAAAGAGATAGATAGATAGATAGATAAATAGATAGATAGATAGATGCGAGAAGAGAGAGAGATCCAGAGAGAGACGGCACAGATGCAAAAAAGAGATTAATAGATAGATAGCTAGATAGAGAGAGAGAGAGAGAGATAGAGAGAGAGAGAGAGAAAGAAGATATGTAGTGAGGTCGTATTAGCAAATGTTCATAAAAATGTCCTCTTAAGATTAAAACGCTCGAAGCATTATCATCTGAAAAGTAGCGGTAAAAAAATCCTTCTGATATGTAAGCCTATATAGATATATTTTATTTACTTATGATTTACCTATGGAATTTTAAAAGTATTAAAACACATGCTCACATTTGTTTCCTATCTTTTTATCGATTTTTATGTTAAAAGATCTTGGGCAAATCTTCTTTCCTCTTATTTCATTCATATATATATATATATATATATATATATATATATATATATATATATATATATATATGTATGTATAAATTTTTATGAACTCATATAAATTCATTTTAAGTGAAATCGAATTAAAAGTAAACCGAAAGGAAAACGAATGATATTTATTTTGTTTTATTCCTATAACTTCTTTTTCTGTCCGAAAATAAAACCAATTTTGACGGGAACGAAACACCTGTCTTCCTATATTTCTGGCCAAGGTGGGGAAAAAAAAAATTTCCGAAAACGGAAACAGGAAAACGAATTAAAAATTATGAAATTTCCCAGAAAAAAATTCTGGCAAAATGATGTAAACTATAAATTTATTTAGAAATATATCCATTTTTTTGTATACAATTTCATGTATTTTATTACAGATGGAACGCTTAGCGACTTCAAGATAAACCGTGATAACATTTCTGAAAGTTAGTAATATATTTTGTCGATGTATTTTAGATGATGGAGGATTATTATTATTTTTATTATTTTCTTGGATTTCTGTTGTATACACATATACTTCCATATCCCAACCTAAGTTTAGAAAGAACTTCATGACATTTTCCACTGAACATTTTTGTAAAAGACAAAACAAAAATAATCCCTATGATCACACACATTTTATATAAATAAAGCTTCGTAATGTGTCAGCTGTTCTTGTGAGTCCAATTTTTGTATTTCTTTAAGGCATTGGCGACTAAGAATCCCTTCAGTGAGTCTATAAGAACTTTCCCCATTCAATCCAAGGACTCCAACGACATTATTTATGTCCTTGTGCGCCATATTTTTGAGATTTCCATAATAAGATCCTTGTATTCTGATAGTTGTTTAAGATTTTCAAAAATACATTCATACTATGTCAATAAAAAAACACATTCTGATTTTGTGATCTTTGGTCACGATGTCAGGGCTGTTAGGTTTGGTTTGGTTTGTTTTACGGCATATCAACCTCAATGGGTTATTTAATGCTGACGAAATTTTTTTTATTGCTGGTAATATTTTGTTAGGTCAAAAATCTGTTTCCGGTCATATTTTTCCTTCAAAAATGTATTGCTGGTAATATTGTTTTTTAAAAAGTATTGCTGGTAATATTTTTTTTTCAAAAAGTATTGCTGGTAATATTTTTTTTCAGAAATGTATTGCTGGTAATAGTTAAAAAAAATGCCCATAGCTGGGACCCTAACAGGTGCTACCACCCCGGGTCAAGGTGGACCTAGGAACACCAGCAATTAAGAGGCGGTTCCACGCCTCTCAAAACCTCCTTATCAGAGGCCTTGTAGTTGGATGTAGTTTATCGTCTTACCCAGGACACGGACGTAGTTTATCGTCATACTCAGAACGAGGGCGATTAGCTTTGATACTTCTTTCTGTGTGTATTTTAAAGTGTGTTCATACCAATCTCTTGTAGTTTCCTTTCCGTAAATGTTGCATATTTTCCAGTGCAGATATTGGCCAACACTGTTGTTATTATTATTATTATAACCATTTCCTCCCTATGACGCAAGAGTACTGTAAAAGAATAATAATTAAAAGAGTTAAGATATCAATTGGCATTACATTTTCTTTTGAAGGTCATATTTGACTGTGAAGCATGAACCCGAAAAAGACTTCCACAAGTGAGAAGTGCAATAGAAGAAACTGTTAGCATAGAACTTACGGTTGCATCTAGCCAAATCCAGCAGTAAAATGAATTGATCAGTTACTAAGTGGAATAAATCAGACATCTTACTATAAAGCTGTCCCGGCAGTCAGCGTATTCCGTCCTGTCTCCCTAGCAGTACGTCCAGGGACAGTCTGTCTCCGTTAAGGGCGACAAGAAAAGAAAGAGATTTCGAAAATTTAATAAAACAAATTCGAAGAGAGACAAACCCATTTAATCTTCTCTATGCCAGATATATATGGTTAGTACAGCTATTTATTAAGCGTAGCTTACAGTTAAGCAACGTCGAGCCTGGTCAGTACCTAGATGGGTGACCGCTTGGAAATGCAAGGTGCTGTAAGCTTGGATGTGCAGGTGGTATAATGGGCTTACGGCCGTATCACATTGAAACACCGTTTCCCGTATGATCACCGAAGTTAAGCAACGTCGAGCCTGGTCAGTACCTAGATGGGTGACTGCTTGGAAATACCAGGTGCTGTAAGCTTGGTTGTGCGGGTGGTATGATGGGCTTACGGCCGTATCATATTGAAACAACGATTCCCGTATGATCACCGAAGTTAAGCAACGTCGAGCCTGGTCATACCTAGATGGGTGACCACTTGGAAATACCAGGTGCTGTAAGCGGATGTGTGCAGGTGGTATGATGGGCTTACGGCCGTATCATATTGAAACAACGCTTCCCGTATGATCACCGAAGTTAAGCAACGTCGAGCCTGGTTAGTACCTAGATGGGTGACCGCTTGAAATGCAAGGTGCTGTAAATGATGGGCTTACGGCCGTATCATATTGAAACAGCGTTTCCCGCACCGAAGGTCGAGCCTGGTTAGTACCTAGATGGGTGACCGCTTGAAATGCAAGGTGCTGTAAGCGGATGTGCGGGTGGTATAATGGGCTTACGGCCGTATCATATTGAAACAGCGTTTCCCGTATGATCACCGAAGTTAAGCAACGTCGAGCCTGGTCAGTACCTAGATGGGTGACCGCTTGGAAATACCAGGTGCTGTAAGCTTGGATGTGCGGGTGGTATGATGGGCTTACGGCCGTATCATATTGAAACAACGATTCCCGTATGATCACCGAAGTTAAGCAACGTCGAGCCTGGTCAGTACCTAGATGGGTGACCACTTGGAAATACCAGGTGCTGTAAGCTTGGATGTGCGGGTGGTATGATGGGCTTACGGCCGTATCATATTGAAACAGCGTTTCCCGTATGATCACCGAAGTTAAGCAACGTCGAGCCTGGTTAGTACCTAGATGGGTGACATTATTTAGATTTCTGCGTTAAGTAGACCATAGAGGTGATGATATATCATTAAATAAAATCAACCAAACAAACAAACAAGAAATCTTTCAGAACATTAATCCACACAATATCCTACAATTTTTTTTAAAGAAATCAAACTGTATTTCAAAAAGTAACTTCGACAAAACTAAAATACCAAAAATATATCACAAACCTCTAATAATTATGCCCGCGCAATTATGTATATGGAGAAAAGCTGAGTATTATTTACAATGTATTCAATTGTGGAAGCAGAAGAACATTTTTATTACTTCAAATCTCCGAAAAAAATTAGATTTTAACATTAAATGACCCATAAAGGTGTTGATATGCTGTGAAATAAACAAATCAATCATCTGCAAGGAGATTGTCCAACATTCACATCTCGAACAAATAATATCACGCAACAATTCAGTACACGTTTCTTTGTTTCTAACGAAGTTTTCCTGTTTCTTAATATTATGCTTATTTTCTAGAAAGCATCTTTCTTCATTCTAAAGTAAAAAATCGACATCACACAAACAATTCAGTGCTTTTTTCTTTGTTTTTAACTAAATTTTTCTGTTTCTTAATATTATGCTTATTTTTCTAGAAAACACCTTTCTCTATTCTAATGTAAAATATTGAAATCACGCAAAAATTCAGTACTCTTTTCATTGTTTCTAATAAAATTTTCCTATTTCTTAATACTATGCTTATTTTCTAGAAAGCACCTTTCTCTATTGTAATGTAAATATCGATATCGCGCAAACAATTCAGTACTCTTTTCTTTGTTTCTAACGAAATTTTCCTATTTCTTAATACTATGCTTATTTTCTGGAAGGAATTTTTCTTTAAACTGTATTCAATTATGAAATCTGAATAACATATATCATATTTTTATTACTTCTACGTTACTAAGAAAATCAAATTTCAACATTAAATGACCCATAAGGAGTTGATGTGCCATTCAACAGATAAATCAATCTTAGTCTAACTTTTTTTTTTTGTACAAAGCGCGAAAAAGTTAAGAGTAAAAAAACAACGGGCCCTACCTTATCTAATAATTAATTAATTAATTAATTAATATTGATTTTTACACGCGAAAACTTTGTATTCAATAACAAAAACAAGGGTTTATACCTCGGTAAATTGACCAGCTGAATCTAAGCAAATAGTCTTTCGATATTCCCACAATGATTTCTGTTTCAATGAGATGGAAAAGAGCACAGAAATGTCAACTTAAGCATAAAAGAAAAACGAATTTGTCCGGAGAAAACGGGTATGACGACTGAAGAAAAGTTGATTAGATAAAGAGTTGAATCTCATAATGACACACGTCCGCAGATTTTTCTTCTCTGGGACGAAGAAATAGAATCATGATAAATTCTGACACGTAAATACATTGGCAGATAATCAGATGCGCCAACTCACGTATAGATTTCGTTGTGTTCACGTAAACATTGACAAATGGACCTCCGGGGGCTTGGGTGTCACACATAATTGAAACGGGACGTCCAAACCTAATATGTTAGTAGAAACGGGTTGGCTTCGTATTCAGAATCGGGAAATTTGATCTTTGACAAAACCTTCAGTGCCAACGTCCATTGCTGTTAGTGTTATTATGTTACGTGCTTTTCTCAAGCAGAAACATTCCTGTTTTTTTACCAAAAAAAGTTCTCCGACAAAAAAGAACGATTGTCTTGAATCATGACAAAATGACACACGCATACACACACGCACGCGCGCGCACACACACACACACACATATATATATATATATATATATATATATATATCTTAACTCTATTACCTGTAATAATTGTCACAAAGAAGACATCGAAGAAACCTCAAGAAATTTATGTAAACAATTATATGAACAAGAAAGAGACATTTTACATTGTCTGTATGTGTGTGAGTGCATGTGTGTGTGTGTGTACCGAGTGTAGCTGCAAAATTGTCCAACTCGTGTAAAAGTAAAATTATCCATTTGTTATATTAAGCATTGAAGCGTTGTATCTTAGAAATGATTAAAGATATTTTACTGGAATTCCCTGATTTTTTTTTTTTTTTTTTTGGAGCGTAATTATACATAAAATGTATAATTACGCTCCAAGCTTAACATAAGAATCGTGATGAAATCGATCATATACAAAAATGACATGTCCATCATAAATTAATCATAGCTAAAGATCATGAAGGTTTGAAATAAAGTTCAAATATATATTTATTATTCCAGGTTTATTTTTCTGTGACCCATACAGCGTTTACATCTGGCTGTCTATCTCCCCAGACTTCACTACGTTGTGGGGCGCAGTTGTGTGAGAGATCACCAAAACTCCTTGTAGCAAGAAAAATTAATTGAAGAAAGTATTATGACGGCATTCACCAGCATAAAGGAAGGCCTCCAGAAGAGTTGCAGGAGATTCCTTAGTCGTCTGAAGGCCGTGGTTGAAGACTATGGCAATTTAATTGAATAAATTTAGTCTTTAGTATTTCAAGATATTTGGTGTCATTTTTGTAAATATATCCGTTAAAATGAGATTTCAGTGGTATTTTCGTTTTTGCTTAATGTTGACGGCAATTTTTCCATTGCATATATATATATATATATATATATATATATATATATATATATATGTGTATGTATGGAGAGAAAAAAATTATGACAAAAGTGGAAAAACGACTACACATGCGCAGGAACGAAACACGCCACAGGAAAGCTTATTTACACTTGGTCATACAGTTTTCCCCCAAATATTTTCCTTGACATATAAACATTTTATATATCGTTATCTCATATATATATATATATATATATATATATATTACAGATGTGTTACTACATTGAGCACTGTTTTGTCTAAACCATTGAATAAATAAATAGTTTTTGCTTACCTGTGTGTGTACGTAATTTCTCATATATATGGTTGATAGTATGCCTTTATTTCTACACCCCCCCCATATATATATATGTATATATATATATATATATATATATATAAGTCAAGATGATAATTATACTTAGTCTTAGCCAATGCGTTTTGTCATCTGACGGACTTTTTCATTTGTCCTGATGAAGTCCGTCAGATGACGAAATGCGTCGGCTAAAACCAAGTATTGTCTTTTTATTCATTTTGTCTCTTACACTCCATCTGAGAATATTTAAAGAGACATATATATATATATATATATATATATATATACATATATATATATATATATATATATATATATATATATATATATATATATATATATATGCAGAAATATAGTTTTAGTTTATGCTATATTTATGGGCTATAGTGCTCAGTATTGGGGATAGAGCGTATGCAAATATAAAAGTCGACACTATGATTGCATTTAGCATGAAACTGTCTGTCGCCTTTGAGCGTTGACTTCAATGATTATATATATATATATATATATATATATATATATATATATATATATATATATAATCGAAAACAGATGGAGAGTGTTGAAGTCTAGGGAACATGTGTTTTGGTCAGACAGAGACCACAATGACCGGCACAACAGCACCCAAGTGGCCTTTGTGACATTGGTCACGCGAAAGAAGCAAAAGTCAATCAACGACAATGGACATCGCTTGGCTGGACACTGATTGTAGGCGTGGGTAGAGAACTGGAATATGGGCGGGGTTGTAAAGATGCAGAGATGCGGACACGATAAGAGTATAAGGAGTTTGGGTTAGGAAAGCCGACGTTGTCCGAAAGACAAGCGGGGTGTCAAGGATACGCAGGGGCGGGATTCCTTGACAACAGCAGCGTCGATGAAAGGTCAAATTAGCGCGGGTAAAAGAGTGATTTAGGAGCATTGGAAGACCAAAGAAAAGCCTGGAGAGAAAGTGAGAGATGAGAAAGGATTAAAATTGGAGCCAAAGTGAAGAGGAAATAGGATAGGGTATGATTGGTAGGAACAAGAATTATCGACGAAGTATTTGCGAAAGGACATTATTTTTAGTTTAAATCACATGACCGGGCAACAATCATGGATCTCCACAACCTCCTGTACTTTGGAATTCAGAGCAATTGCAGTATCATACCAAAATGCACATAGCATATAATCAAAGAAAGTAGCTATATTAAGTGTTATTTCTGATCATGCCGGGAATGTTTACTTAAAATGTATTTTCGTACATATTTGTGGCATATACCCGAAGGGGAAGAGTGGAAAGGCTGGTTTTTCAATGACTATCCTACTCCTTGTTAATGTGATTCACGATCCGCTCAATCTGATAATTAACTCAACCCCAAAAACTGATCCTATCCAACATTTAACAAACAACATATTCACAGGGAACCTACTAACAAAATACATATTAAAATTTAAACTAGGACTTACTGAAAAAAAAAAAACAACCTCTCATCAAATTTATAGACAAAACCACACTTATACAAGATGAGATTTCTAGCCAATAAGATTCCGGTTTTTTCTTATTTTGAAACCAGAACGCCGCGATCGCTTGTCTGCTTCTCTTTTTATGTGTTAACTCTATTCTTTGGGAACTTTTGGCTGAATTATTCTTGCTTTGCTTTACATATAATGTTTTATTGCTCAAAATTATTTTTGCCCTGTTTTCATTTCTTTCGCTTGTTATTGAAGTCTTTGTCAATTCAGTTTGTTGGGTATTTTTGGAAATGCCATTTAACCAAGGCCACATACCCTACAAAGGATTTGCTGGGGAATTACACTTAGTCGAAGAATAATGGAGAAACATATGACGTTATATCTGTTTCTTTAAACAGAGGAAAGGTTTGTAACATAGTCGATTTTATAAGCGCGCGAACACAGAATTTTGCTCGAGTTCTCATACGTGACATAAAAGATAAAGTCCCCTCATCGAACTGGCTGGAAGTAACTGGCGCAATCACAAGTTAAATGTTACCCAATAATTATTCAAGTCTCGTGTTTTTATTAAATCTGCGAACATACATCACTAAACAAATTTTACTACCTCCTTTCTCCCCGACTTATCTCACTAAGAAGGTTAGTTGCTCGCCGTTTTTCTTTACTTTACATTTCTTTAATATGAGTATTACATTCTCCAAGCCATCTTTCCTCATAATGCGTTCTGAGAATTTCAATAATTTTTTTTTCTGATTTAAGTACACGTGCTATATTTTTATAAGCTTCATCGTTGCTCATATGGTGATATTAGCAGCATGGCCCAGCGTTGCCCGTGCTTGATTCAAAAATCGTACGACTCATACAGCAATCGCTATCACTTGACTTAAAAATATTTTTTGCTCTTCCTTGCCTTTAAAGGAGTGCCCTTTGCCGTGCTGATGTTGCTACATGCCTTACTTCTTGCCTATCTCACACTGCGAATTTTTTTCCTAGCTCTATACTAAACATTAAATCTGTTACGAAAAAAGAACTAAACAAAATGAACACAAAACGATCAGCTTTAAAAAAGGACTCGTAACTGGAAAAACCGAATGAAAAAAGAATGTTAACAACAAATACTTTTTCACACCCAACCCAGTTCTGCGGAATCAGAATCAACGTTGAGTTTAAGCAAGCGAATGAGCCAATTGGAGTAAAGTGCCATGCAGATTAAAATTTTTCCCACTTGTGACGAATGCAGCTATTGATTTTTTTTTGCATGCTAGCTAACATTCGTGTTAGTCAGCTGTTGGCTCTCACGCTGGCCAATAGAATCTTCCTGCCTAATCGTTGCAGCCAGCTGTAGGCTCTCACTCTGGCCAGTACAAAATGGCCGCAAACTACATGAAAACTGCCGTAGAAGCATGAAAAAATGGATTATTTCCACTATCGATGGAAGTTGGGAAATGCAAAGTCAGTCTTGGCCTTCTCGCTAAGTTGGAGCATGTGCATGTAAATTTTGATGCAAATCCGTCGAAAATTGCGACCGTACATTCGTTACACACACACACACACACACACACACACACACACACATCCTGCCTTTTATAAATAGAGATTCTAAGCATAGCTTAGATGTGGCGCAAGGCCGAAAGTTTGGAACACCCAGTGAGGATCTAACTCACTACTCAGTCGTAATTGATCTATCGAGGAAAGCTTGGTAACAATTACACTACATTGAAGTGCTCTCGTGGTTCATATGCTCGGTCTATGGTAGTCTCAGTATCCCACTGTAGAACAACGTCTTTGTCACTTGGTCTCTTCATTCTCTGTGAGAAGATGGTTCAATATTCACTTGTTTCTTGAAATTTCACTTACCTTGTTGTACGGTTGATTATTAGGGACATTCTTGGAATTTTATTTCCTGCTTAATCACGGGTTACAGTTTTTTTTTTAATCTTTTTCTACTTCAACTTAGCTTGTTTCACGATTTACAATTTTCTGCACTTTAATCAATTAAAGCTTTGGCATTTCATGGGCCGTGTTCCTTGAGGACGTAGGCGATCATGGCTCTCCACTATTTACCGTCATTTGTAGTTCTCAATATGTTTTGTCCTTTTGCTACTTATCCCAGACCCTGCTCTGCCATCCACTTGCTTAAGTCCGCTATGCATTGAACCCTCGACCCCACTGAGTCAGGTTGTGACACAAGGTCGGTTTTTAACGTCGGGACCCGAGTGTCTTCACTCGGGCTACTGGTCATAGCTTGTCCAAGCTTGTCAGTGCTGGTCCAAGCTAGTCATAGCTATGATACTACCAGCACAGGGACGGATCCCTACACCAGGTAAGTATCAGAATGTGTATATGACACGTTGCTTTCCCTTTTCTTCCCTCCTCACGGCCTTGTGAGTATCAGTTTTTCCAAGCCTTCCTTTCTCATTACTTGTCATAGAAATTTCAACTGCCTCTTCCTGATGTTAAGTATAAGCTTTCTCCCTGTTTGCATTCACTCCAAAACCTCATTGTTGCTCACATGTTCGGCTCATTGTATCCTTATCATCCTTCTGTAGAGCTATACTTCCGTTGCCTCGATTGTTTCTTCATAAGGAGACCGCCTAACATTCGCTGCCGTAAAGGAGGACAGATATCAGGAAGCAGTCTGTGCCGCGCCAGGAAATTCTTCTCCTCGGAATCGATCCTTCAGATCTACAAATCAACAATTCGCCCTTGCATGGAGTATTGCTGCCATATATGGTCTGAAGGTTTGCCTCGGGGTTCTTGATAAGCTCTAGAGGCGGATATGCAATATAATTGGCCCTCTTCTGGCATCTCGTCTACAGTCGCTCTCTCACTGACGCGCCGTCGCTTCTCTCTGGTCTTTTTTACAAATACTTTCATGGTAATTGTTCCGAGGAGCTGCATTCGCTGGTTCCCAGACTTCATGAATTCAAGCGCCCTACGAGGCTGGCATCCCGCTCTCACCCTTTCACTGTCGAAACTACTAAATGTAGCCGTCTCTTCTACTCCAATAGCTTCATGTCTCGCACCTCTCGCCTGTGGAACTCCATTCCCTATTCCAGTTTCCTTGAGAGCTATAATCTCCAACTATTCAAATGTAATCTTAATCGACATCTCCAGTTGCCTTGATCTATCCATTATCCTTCTCCTCATCCTTTTCTCTATCACTCCTATCTGGTTTTGCTCCAAATATTCTGTAACCTCTTGCGTCCTAGTGGCTTCCCGCCTTGCTTGGGGTGAAACGCTTAAAAAATAACAAAAAAAAAAGCGCCTGTCGTAATACTCTGCCTAGCTTTTGAAATGCGTCTTTGGCCATCCAAATACATCTTCGGATTTCAGCGTCGCGCTTACCGTCGACTGTCAGAGCACTTCTCATTTTTTCTCTAAAATTCTATATGCTCGGACGTGACATTAATGGTTTGGGTTCAGTAGAGCACATTTTTGTCTTGAAGCTTTACCATCCTTTCGGTCTTCTTCAGGTGGTTGGAATGTCGAACTGAACCCTTTATTTCGCTCACTGGGGTAGACTGTTCTAGTTCCACGTGCCATGTCCAATGGATGTCAGTTATCTCCTATTAATTCCTCTCCTAAAATTCTCCACTGCCTTAACCAGAAGAAAGCCGGGGCGTACAAGGGCCGAAACGTCGTGATAAACTTAGCGAAAAAGATGAAGACAACAATCCGAATAATGTAAATAGTGTACATAATTCCTCATCTCAGAAATATAGACAGATATGTTAGACCGGTTTGTTAAAAAAAAAAAACAAAAACAGGGATAGCAATTCAAACACCCGTATCCACAGCGATTACAGCAGCGATTATATATATATATATATATATATATATATATATATATATATATATATACTAGCAGTAAAGCCCGGCGTTGCCCGGGGATGTAACAGTAAGAGATAGATCAAGTATCGATCATCATAAAGACTGAAAAATTAAATTGACAAAGATTATTGTTTAACGTTGACGGACACGCATGTCTTAATTAGTTTTTTTTTACGAATTGGTCAAACCCAAACTCAAACAAAAACATTGTTTTCAATCGATTCAATAGAATTTTATTATAAACAATTGTCTTGTAAATGGAATTTTTAAAGTATTCTGAATGTAAAAATAAAGAAAAAAGTGTGCAAAACAATAAGAAACACTACCTGCGAAAAAAAAGTGAAGTTTTGTTGAAATCGGTTGAAAAATATAGGAAACCCGATCCCATATACAAACGAACACACACACACACACACACACACACACAAAGAACCAACCTGGGTTTTATAATAAGTATAACTTGATGACTCAATATTAATAAGTATAACTCGATATGAGTTCTCCCCCTTTCATTAATGCCTCTTAATCGCGTTTTCAAATTGATTTCGTGCAAAAACAATTGTGTTTTTCCAATTTTTGGCACTGTCAGAACCACCGCAAGGTATCTTTACGTAGTCCTGTGAAGTTTTGTTGAAATTGGTTGAAAAATGTAGGAAATCCGATCCAATATATAAACGTACACACACACACACACAATCTGCGTTTTATAATAAGTAAGATAAGATATATACGTATTTCATTAAAAAAGACAGACAGGGTACTGCCGTTAAGCTTTTTATTTAATTTTTCTTGTGTTCGAACATCTCTTTTCTTTTCTGTTTAAATCTACTATAAAAAAATATAAAACAGTTAACTTTATTCTAAAAAATAACAACACAATTAAAATCAAAATTACAATGACCGAACATTATCTATGAGTTCAAATGCCCCTTAAGGTAGTGTGTTTCTGATCAAACCGAATTCATAAATAATTACATCGGTCACACAACTACATGCCTATCCAGACGACTTACGTTACACTTATCTGACCACAGCTCTATTAGAATTCATTTAAACGCACACACAAACACATTCACACACACACACATACACATACAAAAAAACTTATACAGAAACTGAATACAGAATATTATTGATTAGTAATTAGGGGATTTGTATAATTTTCATAGTGATTCATCCTGTCTACAACCGTTCTAGACATTATATATATATATATATATATATATATATATCAAATATGTAGTGCAGTTCAATTTATAGTATAGTTCGCAAGTACTTTCAACTGTATGTCATCTTCAGGCATGGAAATTATTTTGTTTTTGGTAAAATTCAGGCAGCACCCGAGACGAAAAAATTAAATTATAAAACCTTATACAGCTTACAATTTTAAAAAACAAAGATCATAACATTCATCGAGTGATTTGTAAGTTAATGCACCTTTAAAATTTTGTTTGCGAAGGAATTTCGCCATTTTATATCATTAATTTACTTTTTGTATGAATGATTCATTGTTATATATATATATATATATATATATATATATTCTATAAATTTTCCTTACTATGCCCTTGGGAGGTTGTGGTTGGCAAATTGTAACTTTTTACAAGTATAGTTTTAAAAGTATTCAATATAATAACACGTTATGTCTTCTGATGAAATTTAGCAAAGGAAGTCAGTTGCCTTGTTAATGTCCTGAGAAGAGGAAAAAAATCAGCAAAGAAAAAGCTTTCCATTTGTTTTTAAGAATACATATATATATATATATATATATATATATATATATATAGAGAGAGAGAGAGAGAGAGAGAGAGAGAGAGAAGAGAGATAAGTTTAGATATAAACCACATACTTAGATGTTAGCAATTATATATGCTTGCGTTAATTTACTTAATTTAATAAAAGGTGTAAACAAAACAGTGATCAGTATAGTTAGACATCGTTAAGACGTATATATTAATAAATATTCATATATTAGAGGTTATATACCTACGTTTGTAGTGCATCTATATAATTCTACTTAAGCTCCAAAATACGTGAGTAATGTTTGGATAAAAATGCGACAGAAATTTAAATATCTGCTGAAAAGCGATCTCAAGATTTTTTGCTCAGTATTCTAAGTTAGGCCTCTCCTTACTGTACAGGTAAGCCCAAATCTAAGCTATCCCGTTAAATGGAGTTAAGCTAGTTATATAATATCATATGACAAATCTACATAATATCAGATCCCTTACCTCTATATTGAGACACTAACCGTAATATATTTCTGTTTATGTTGTACAGCAAACAACCTACAACCCACACAGGTATGTAGAGTATATTTGATCGGTATAATTTAACGAACATTTAAAATACTTCAGTACGCATCATAGCGGGATGTTTTTTGATAGTACTGCTACGTAACTTTCTGTGTTAATATGCCAAACATGTTCATCCATATTTTAGGGGGATATATTTGTGGCACCTTGCTGGAGATACGGTAAATGATGTACAGTAATTGTTAGGTAAGCTGTCACACTTGGTTACATTCAACACCATAACTTGATATGACACCAGAAGTGTTAAAACAAAATGGATATTTTTGTAGTGATTTTATAATATTTTTATGTTATAATTTTCGAATAAATTATATTTGCTCTACTTTGTATTGAGCACTCTTTTTAAGAATTGTATTTTAGGTTATTGGAATTTATTCCATACAGCAATCCTATTTGGTTTATATATATATATATATATATATATATATATATATATATATATATATATATATATATATATATATATATATATATATTAAATACAAAGAGACCACTTTTAAAGTTCCATGTAATAAATTATTTCACCACAGGCCTTTTAAAGGACTGCGGATCATCAACTTTACTTCCAAACAAAAAATGAAAATTTATACATTTTTGACGGGCCGTATTAAACATATGTAAATTATCGAAGTGAGAAAGTGAGGGGGGGGAGAAGACATGAGTGAGTTGGCAGATATTGACACATTTAACGGAAGTTATATATTGATATCGAAGGGGTAGAGAAGAAAAAACCCATAGAGAGAAAAAGAGAGAAGGAAGTTATGAGAGAAGGTGTCACTAATTTTCTTTGTCAAAAAAAAAAAGGCTAGAAACAGACGATGTTATTTTGTTTTACTTTGAAAGTGTTATTTTGGGGTTCATTGAACTCCCTGGATTTTATCCTCCTTAGGTTTACCCATATAGGATTACCTAGTTTTTTATAAACTTTTATTTTATATATATATATATATATATATATATATATATATATATATATATATATATATATATATATATATATATATATATATATATATATATATATAAAAGGTTTGCTAAATTTATGGGATAATGTGCTCAATATCAGAGGTAGAGCGTATGTAAGTATAAAAGTTAACATTGAAATCAGCACTTAGAAGAGACAGATTCTTTTATACTATACGCAGTCATCAGGCCTGATGACTCAGTTTAGGATGAAACAGTCTGTCGCCTCTCTCTCTATATATATATATAACTATATATATATATAACTATATATATTAAGAAATGGACAAAGTCCGACAATTTATTTATTAAAGACATTTTTATGTTTAACGTTCTTTTTTATAGATACAAGTATTTAAGTAAATGCTCTGTTTATAATAAACAGTATTAAATAAAATTTACCGGCCTGAATGTCCGAGAAATTTTCATAGAAAATATACGTCCTTTGACAGGATTCGAACCTGCATCCTATACGGAACCGTCATTTACGCTGACGTGCCTTACCGACCAGCCACAAAGGAGTGTTCGGTAGACAAGGTCGAATAAGTTTATAAGCAGTAAATTCGACCTTGTCTACCGAACGCTCCTTTGTGGCAAATGTAAGCAAATATATGGATATAGGTCCGACAGTCTGAAGAAAAATACAGAAAAAACAAACAAAAATCTTAATATGCAATTATGCTGTATTAATGTTAATATAAAGTCAACGTCGGACGTTTCGGTCTATTTTAGACCATCATCAGGACATTTTCATTTAAACATAATTAACATTAGAACATATAAAAATTTAACACAAAAGACGATGGACATAAGAGCACAACTAATCCAAACAGATAACTGAAATTTTTATATAATATATTCCGTTTAAATATGATCACGTCGTCGTCACGTGGGCGATGTTGTTAAAACGTATTCGAAGATGATTTCCAAATATTAAAATATTAAAAAAGTCGATTGAACTATGTCCATTGTCTTTTGTGCTAAATTTTTATATCTTCTAATGTTAATTATGTTTAAATGAAAATGTCCATGAAGATGGTCTTAAATAGACCGAAACGTACGACGTCGACTTTATATTAACATTAATACAGCATCATTGCATATTAAGATTTTTGTTTGTTTTTGGAGTAGTTTATACATATTTAAACATTTTCAAATATTCATTTATTGCCAGTCACCATTTAATACCTCTGAAATATTTCTTGTATAAACATATTGTGCAATTCTAATGAAATCTCCAGAAAATACACTACATAGACGTAAAAATGTGATCGACACACATAAAATGGATATATGGAAATACATTGCTTTTTCTATATGTATATATTTCTATTTCTCCTCGTAGACATTAAGTCATATATATATATATATATGTCTGTACGCTGTGCATTTGGGGGGGGGCACTTCTATGCGCATGTGTTTGTTCATGTGCATGTGTTTGCCTAATGATAGACGTTTTCGCAGTAGGCTTTTGCCACCTCCCTTGGATCTCAGCGAAACGAATTCGTGTCGTTTAATTAGATAAACTATGAAAAGATTTCATTTAAAAATTTGTATCGGCTCCCGTTCTATGGTCATATAAAACTTCCCGTTGTCACTGACGACACGCCAGCCCTGGGGGCACAAGATGCGAATCGAAAAGCCACGTTCTTAGTACAAATTGCGTAGTTGACCCAATCACGTTTCACAGCGATGCATATTTATTTTTATATAAATTATTTTTTCTTAATTTATTTTTCTGGTTGTTAAAATCGTCTTTTTAAACATTCTCACGAATTCAGATGACATAAATAAATAAATAAAATAAACAACTAGATATTTTTTTAAAAATCTTCAAATCTAAATACTTTGATAAAAATAATTTAAAAAAAAAAACTTAAATCCAATAAATTAATTTAATTTACGACAATGAAAACGATATCAGATAAATTATAAAATCACTTTAAGTGATTTTTTTTAAATGAATGAAAAACGGAAAGAAGGAATGAAAGAAAGAGTGAATCTGTAAATAAATCTGTGCGCAAATAAGATAACTGAATATATTTAGGCAAATCTTATCAAGTAGACTTTAAGAGACGAAATAATTGATTTTGAAAATATATTTAATAGTAAAAACAAAAGATATTAAATTAGGTAAAAGGAAGTCAGCTAATGAATATCGTATTAAATTTATATACAAATAATGTAAATTTAATTATTAGATGATTCACTGAAATTATTTAAAGAGAAATTAGAAATAAAATAATTTGAAGGGAATGAATGCTGACATTAAACGAAAGAGGATTAAAAGGAAGGGGGAGATGAAAGGGAAAATAAATAAACAGGAATTGAGAAGGAATCAAGAATGGAAAAGGTGTAAAGTAATAGAAAAGAAAGAAAGCAAGAAATAGAACAGAAAGAAAGAAATAGAAAAGAAAGAAAGATATAGGAAGAACTAGAAAAGAAAGAAAGAAAGAAAGAAAGAAAGAAATAGAACAGAAAGAAAGAAAGAAAGAAATAGAAAGAAAGAAATAGAAAAGAAAGAAAGAAAGAAATAGAACAGAAAGAAAGAAAGAAATCCAAAGAAAGAAATAGAAAAGAAAGAAAGATATAGGAAGAACTAGAAAAGAAAGAAAGAAAGAAAGAAAGAAATAGAACAGAAAGAAAGAAAGAAAGAAAGAAAGAAAGAAATAGAAAGAAAGAAATAGAAAAGAAAGAAAGATATAGGAAGAACTAGAAAAGAAAGAAAGAAAGAAAGAAAAGAAAGAAAGAAATAGAACAGAAAAAAGAAAGAAAGAAAAGAAAAAAAAATAGAAAGAAAAGAAATAGAAAAGAAAGAAAGATATAGGAAGAACTACAAAAGAAAGAAAGAAAGAAAGAAAGAAATAGAACAGAAAGAAAGAAAGAAAGACAGAAAGAAATAGAAAGGAAACAAATAGAAAAGAAAGAAAGATATAGGAAGAACTAGAAAGGAAAGAAAGAAAGAAAGAAAGAAATAGAACAGAAAGAAAGAAAGAAAGAAAGAAAGAAATAGAAAGAAAGAAATAGAAAAGAAAGAAAGATATAGGAAGAACTAGAAAAGAAAGAAAGAAAGAAAGAAAGAAATAGAACAGAAAGAAAGAAAGAAAGAAAGAAAGAAATAGAAAGAAAGAAATAGAAAAGAAAGAAAGATATAGGAAGAACTAGAAAAGAAAGAAAGAAAGAAAGAAAGAAAGAAAGAAAGAAATAGAACAGAAAGAAAGAAAGAAAGAAAGAAAAAAATAGAAAGAAAGAAATAGAAAAGAAAGAAAGATATAGGAAGAACTACAAAAAAGAAAGAAAAGAAAGAAAGAAAGAGAACAGAAAAGAAAAGAAAGACAGAAAGAAATAGAAAGGAAACAAATAGAAAAGAAAGAAAGATATAGGAAGAACTAGAAAGGAAAAAGAAAGAAAGAAAGAAATAGAACAGAAAGAAAGAAAGAAAGAAATAGAAAGAAAGAAATAGAAAAGAAAGAAAGAAAGAAATAGAACAGAAAGAAAGAAAGAAATAGAAAGAAAGAAATAGAAAAGAAAGAAAGATATAGGAAGAACTAGAAAAGAAAGAAAGAAAGAAAAAAAGAAATAGAAAAGAAAGAAGGATATAGGAAGAACTAGAAAAGAAAAGAAAGAAAGAAAAGAAAGAAAGAAATAGAAAAAGAAAAGAAAGAAAGAAAGAACAAAAAAAGAAAGAAAGAAATAGAAAAGAAAGAAAGATATAGGAAGAACTACAAAAAGAAAGAAAGAAAAGAAAAAAGAAATAGAAAAGAAAGAAAGAAAAAAGAAGAAAGAAAAGAAAGGAAAAAAACAAATAGAAAAGAAAGAAAGATATAGGAAGAACTAAGAAAGAAAGAAAGAAAGAAAGAAAAGGAAAAGAACAGAAAGAAAGAAAGAAAGAAAGAAAGAAAGAAAAAGAAAAGAAAAAAAGAGAAAGAAAGAATAGGAAGAACTAGAAAAGAAAAAAAAGAAAGAAAGAAAGAAAGAAATAGAAACAGAAAGAAAGAAAGAAAGAAAGAAAGAAAGAAATAGAAAGAAAGAAATAGAAAAGAAAGAAAGATATAGGAAGAACTAGAAAAGAAAGAAAGAAAGAAAGAAAGAAAGAAAAAAGAAATAGAACAGAAAGAAAGAAAGAAAGAAAAGAGAAAGAAAGAAAGAAAGAGAAAAGAAAGAAAGAAAAAAGGGAAGAAAAGAGAAAAGAAAGAAAAAAAGAAAGAAAGAAAGAAATAGAAAAGAAAGAAAGAAAGAAAAGAAAAGAAAAAGAAAGAAAGAAAAAGAAAAGAAAGAAAGATATAGGAAGAACTAGAAAAAAAAAAGAAAGAAAGAAAGAAAGAAATAGAACAGAAAAAAGAAAGAAAAGAAAGAAATAGAAAGAAAGAAATAGAAAAGAAAGAAAGATATAGGAAGAACTAGAAAAAGAAAGAAAGAAAGAAAGAAAAGAAAAGAAAGAAAAGAAAGAAAGAAATAGAAAGAAAGAAATAGAAAGAAAAGAAAGAAATAGGAAGAACTAGAAAAGAAAAAAAAGAAAGAAAGAAAGAAATAGAAGACAGAAAGAAAGAAAGAAAGAAAGAAAGAAAGAAAGAAAGAAAGAAAGAAATAGAAAAAGAAAGAAAGATATAGGAAGAACTAGAAAAAAGAAAAAAGAAAGAAAAAAGAAAGAAACAGAAAAAGAAAGAAAGAAAGAAAGAAAGAAAGAAAGAAAAGAAAAGAAAGAAAGAAAAGAAAAGAAAGAAAGATATAAAAGAAAGAAAGAAAAGAAAGAAAGAAAGAAAGAAAGAAATAGAACAGAAAGAAAGAAAGAAAGAAAGAAATAGAAAGAAAGAAATAGAAAAGAAAGAAAGATATAACAAGAACTAGAAAAGAAAGAAAGAAAAGAAAGAAAAAGAAAGAAAGAAAAGAAAGAAAGAAAGAAAGAAAGAAATAGAAAGAAAGAAATAGAAAAGAAAGAAAGATATAGGAAGAAAGAAAAGAAAGAAAGAAAAGAAATAAAAAAGAAAAGAAAGAAAGAAAGAAAGAAAGAAATAGAACAGAAAGAAAGAAAAGAAAGAAAGAAAGAAAGAAATAGAAAGAAAAAAAAGAAAGAAAGAAAAGAAAGAAAAGAAATAGAAAAAAAGAAAGAAAGAGAAAAGAAAAAGAAAGATATAGGAAGAACTAGAAAAGAAAGAAAGAAAGAAAGAAAGAAATAGAAAAAGAAAGAAAGAAAAAGAAAGAAATAGAAAGACAGAAAGAAACAGAAAGAAAGAAATAGAAAAGAAAGAAAGATATAGGAAGAACTAGAAAAAGAAAGAAAGAAAGAAAGAAAGAAAAGAAATAGAAAAGAAAGAAAGAAAGAAAAGAAAGAAAAGAAATAGAAAAAGAAAGAAATAGAAAAGAAAGAAAGATAATAGAAAGAACTAAAAAGAAAAAAGAAAGAAAGAAAGAAAGAAATAGAAAAGAAAGAAAGAAAGAAAAGAAAAAAGAAAGAAAGAAATAGAAAAGAAAGAAAGAAAAAGAAAAGAAAGAAAAAAAAAAAGAAAGAAAGAAAGAAAGAAATAGAACAGAAAAAGAAAGAAAGAAAAGAAAGAAAGAAAGAAAGAAAGAAATAGAAAAGAAAGAAAGATATAGGAAGAACTAGAAAAGAAAGAAAAGAAAAGAAAGAAATAAAAAAAGAAATAGAAAAGAAAGAAAGAAATAGAAAGAAAGAAATAGAAAAGAAAGAAAGATATAGGAAGAACTAGAAAAGAAAGAAAGAAAGAAAGAAAGAAATAGAACAGAAAGAAAGAAAGAAAGAAAGAAATAGAAAGAAAGAAATAGAAAAGAAAGAAAGATATAGGAAGAACTAGAAAAGAAAGAAAGAAAGAAAGAAAGAAATAGAACAGAAAGAAAGAAAGAAAGAAAGAAAGAAAGATATAGGAGGAACTAGAAAAGAAAGAAAGAAAGAAAGAAAGAAATAGAACAGAATGAAAGAAAGAAATAGAAAGAAAGAAATAGAAAAGAAAGAAAGATATAGGAAGAACTAGAAAAGAAAGAAAGAAAGAAATAGAACAGAAAGAAATAGAACAGAAAGAAAGAAAGAAAGAAAGAAAGAAATAGAAAGAAAGAAATAGAAAAGAAAGAAAGATATAGGAAGAACTAGAAAAGAAAGAAAGAAAGAAAGAAATAGAACAGAAAGAAAGAAAGAAATAGAAAAGAAAGAAAGATATAGGAAGAACTAGAAAAGAAAGAAAGAAAGAAAGAAAGAAATAGAACAGAAAGAAAGAAAGTAAGAAAAAACAGAAAGAAAGAAATAGAAAAGAAAGAAAGATATAGGAAGAACTAGAAAAGAAAGAAAGAAAGAAATAGAACAGAAAGAAAGAAAGAAAGAAAGAAAGAAAGAAAGAAAAAGAAAGAAAGAAAAAAAAAGAAAAAGAAAGAAGAACTAGAAAAGAAAGAAAGAAAGAAAGAAATAGAAAGAAAAAGAAAGAAAGAAAGAAAGAAAAAGAAAGAAAGAAATAGAAAAGAAAAGAAAGATATAGGAAGAACTAGAAAAAAGAAAGAAAGAAAGAAAGAAAATAAAGAAATAGAAGGAAGAAAGAAAGAAAAAAGAAAGAAATAGAAAGAAAGAAATAGAAAAGAAAGAAAGATATAGGAAGAACTAGAAAAGAAAGAAAGAAAGAAAGAAATAGAACAGAAAGAAAGAAAGAAAGAAAGAAATAGAAAGAAAGAAATAGAAAAGAAAGAAAGATATAGGAAGAACTAGAAAAGAAAGAAAGAAAAAGAAAGAAAGAAAGAAATAGAAAGAAAAAAAGTAAGAAAATAGAAAGAAAAAAGAAAAAAAAGAAAAGAAAGAAATAGAAAGAACTAGAAAAGAAAAGAAAGAAAGAAAGAAAAGAAAGAAATAGAAAGAAAGAAAGAGAAAGAAAGAAAGAAAGAAATAGAAAGAAAAGAAATAAAAAAGAAAGAAAGATATAGGAAGAACTAGAAAAGAAATGAAAAAAAAAAAGAAAAAGAAATAGAACAGAAAGAAAGAAAGAAAAGAAATAGAAAGAAAGAAAAAGAAAAGAAAGAAAGATATAGGAAGAACTAGAAAAGAAAGAAAGAAAGAAAGAAAGAAAGAAAGAAAGAAAGAAATAGAACAGAAAGAAAGAAAGAAAGAAAGAAATAGAAAGGAAACAAATAGAAAAGAAAGAAAGATATAGGAAGAACTAGAAAAGAAAGAAAGAAAGAAAGAAAGAAATAGAACAGAAAGAAAGAAAGAAAGAAAAAGAAAAAAAAAGAAAGAAAAAAAGAAAGAAAGATATAGGAAGAACTAGAAAAGAAAGAAAGAAAGAAATAGAACAGAAAGAAAGAAATTAAGAAAAAACAGAAAGAAAGAAATAGAAAAGAAAGAAAGATATAGGAAGAACTATAAAAGAAAGAAAGAAAGAAAGAAATAGAACAGAAAGAAAGAAAGAAAGAAAGAAAGAAAGAAAGAAAGAAAGAAATAGAAAGAAAGAAATAGAAAAGAAAGAAAGATATAGGAAGAACTAGAAAAGAAAGAAAGAAAGAAAGAAAGAAAGAAAGAAAGAAATTGAACAAAAAGAAAGAAAGAAAGAAATAGAAAGAAAGAAATAGAAAAGAAAGAAAGATATAGGAAGAACTAGAAAAGAAAGAAAGAAAGAAAGCAATAGAACAGAAAGAAAGAAAGAATGAAAGAAAGAAAGAAAGAAATAGAAAGAAAGAACTAGAAAAGAACGAATGAAAGAAATAGAACAGAAAGAAAGAAATAGAAAGAAAGAAACAGAAAAGAAAGAAAGATATAGGAAGAACTAGAAAAGAAAGAAAGAAAGAAAGAAAGAAAGAAATAGAACAGAAAGAAAGAAAGAAAGAAATAGAAAGAAAGAAATAGAAAAGAAAGAAAGATATAGGAAGAACTAGAAAAGAAAGAAAGAAAGAAAGAAAGAAAGAAAGAAAGAAATTGAACAGAAAGAAAGAAAGAAAGAAATAGAAATAAAGAAATAGAAAAGAAAGAAATATATAGGAAGAACTAAAAAAGAAAGAAAGAAAGAAAGAAATAGAACAGAAAGAAAGAAAGAAAGAAAGAAAGAAAGAAATAGAAAGAAAGAAATAGAAAAGAAAGAAAGAAAGAAATAGAACAGAAAGAAAGAAAGAAAGAAAGAAAGAAATAGAAAAGAAAGAAAGAAAGAAAGAAAGAAATAGAAAGAAAGAAATAGAAAAGAAAGAAAGAAAGAAATAGAACAGAAAGAAAGAAAGAAAGAAATAGAAAGAAAGAAATAGAAAAGAAAGAAAGAAAGAAATAGAACAGAAAGAAAGAAAGAAAGAAATAGAAAGAAAGAAATAGAACAGAAAGAAAGAAAGAAAAGAAAGAAAGAAAGAAAGAAAGAAATAGAAAGAAAGAAATAGAAAAGAAAGAAAGATATAGGAAGAACTAGAAAAGAAAGAAAGAAAGAAAGAAAGAAAGGAATAGAACAGAAAGAAAGAAAGAAAGAAATAGAAAGAAAGAAATAGAAAAGAAAGAAAGAAAGAAATAGAACAGAAAGAAAGAAAGAAAGAAAGAAATAGAAAGAAATAGAAAAGAAAGAAAGATATAGGAAGGACTAGAAAAGAAAGAAAGAAAGAAAGAAAGAAAGAAAGAAAGAAATAGAACAGAAAGAAAGAAAGAAAGAAATAGAAAGAAAGAAATAGAAAAGAAATATATAGGAAGAACTAGAAAAGAAAGAAAGAAAGAAAGAAAGAAATAGAACAGAAAGAAAGAAAGAAAGAAAGAAAGAAATAGAAAGAAAGTAATAGAAAAGAAAGAAAGATATAGGAAGAACTAGAAAAGAAAGAAAGAAAGAAAGAAAGAAATAGAACAGAAAGAAAGAAAGAAAGAAAGAAAGAAATAGAAAGAAAGAAATAGAAAAGAAAGAAAAAGAGAGATAGATAGAACAGAAAGAAAGAAAGAAAGAAAGAAATAGAAAAGAAAGAAAGAAAGAAAGAAAGAAAGAAATAGAAAGAAAGAAATAGAAAAGAAAGAAAGAAAGAAATAGAACAGAAAGAAAGAAAGAAAGAAAGAAATAGAAAAAGAAATAGAAAAGAAAGAAAGAAAGAAATATAACAGAAAGAAAGAAAGAAAGAAATAGAAAGAAAAGAAATAGAAAAGAAAGAAATAGAAAGAATAGAATAGAAAAGAAAGAAAGAAAGAACAAAAGAAATAGAAAAGAAAGAATGAAAGAAAGATATAGAAAAGAAAGAAAGAAATAGAAAGAACTAGAAAAGAAAGAAAGAACTAGAAAAGAAAGAAAGAACTAGAAAAGAAAGAAAGAACTAGAAAAGAAAGAAAGAAATAGAAAAGAAATAAATAGTAAGAAATAGAAAAGAAGGAAAGAAAGAAATAGAAAGAATAAAAGAAGAATAAAAGAAGAAAGAAATAGATAAGGAAAAAGGTGGAAATAAATAGGAAAGAAAGAAAGAAATAAGTAAGAGAGGAAGAAAGAAATAGATTAGGAAAAAGGTGTAAATAAATAGAAAAGAAAGAAAGAAATAAGAAAGAAATAGATAAAGAAAAAGGGTGTAAAGAAATAGACAAGAAAGAAAGAAAAACAGATTAAAGAATAGATAAAGAAAGGAAGATATAAAGAAAGAAAGAAACAAACAAACAAAGAAGACAATAAAACAAGAAAGGAGTGACGGAAAATAATGAGAGTTTAAGAAAATACGAAAATTTAAATATTCAATATTAATCAGGGAGGAAAGAAAAGAAAGGCGGCGCGAAGGGGAAGATGAAAGAACGAAAGAAAAAGTCGTTAGTAAATTATTTAATGAAGAAAGTATTCAATATTCAGAGTACTACGGGTAAATTGTCGCCATTTTATATTTTTTATTCCGCGCATGTTTGTTTTTGATTTAGTCGCCTTCACAATATATTATAATCAGTATGGTTCCCTCTGTGAGAAAAAGAGCATAATGATGTATTTCCCTCCGCCACAAATTTGGAAACGGCATGCTGTACTGCTTGGCATTCGCGCCGGAAGCCCCAATACGAACGAGTGTTTGGGTGTAAATCTGAGGGCAGTACAGAGGATTCAGAAGGAGTTGGATGAGTCCAATGGTGATTACGAAGGCACGGCAGCTCGAAAAACTCATTCTGTTCGTTCTGATAAGAAAAGAAGTCCAGAATTAGTTGATGAGATCCAGACCTTGATTGAAAACGATCACTCCAACTCAAACAGGTCCCTATCCAGGGATTTAGTGTTGCTCTAGGTCAAAGGTGGCTGCTGGAAGATCCTCTGTCTGGCAACAGGACTCTTCACTATGCTGCACAAGCAGGTGAACACAGTCAGGGCTGCCAGACAATTTCTTCGACCACATCTCCCTTTACGTCGAGCCACCTAACTCCTAGACTACAAGATTATATGTGGGGGCGCATTTGAGCTAGCGACCAACAAAGCTCCTTGTAACACCAAAGATGAACTGAAGGCAGACATGATATAAGTATTCACCAACTTAAACAAGGAGACCTCCCAGAAGAATTGCAGGAGATTCCGAAGTCTTCTGAAGTCCGTGGTTGAAGCCCATGACGATTTTATTGAAGAAATTTACTTTTTGGTATTTCAAACTATTTTGAGTCATTTTGATCAATATATCTGTTAAAATGAGATGTCAGTGTTATTTTCATTTAGGGCTAATCATTAAGGGACTAATAAATAATAATGGACTAAGAAATGAGATATGAGTAATTATTCAAAGGCTAATAAATAATATAGAACTATCAAGTAATATAGGACTAAAAAATAATAATTGACAAATAAATAATATAGGACTAATAAATAAATAATTTAGGACTAATAAATATTAAAGGCTACTAAATAATATAGGACTGATAAATAATAATTGGCAAATAAATAATATAGGACTAATAAATAATATAGGACTAATAAATAATAAATAAATAATTTAGGACTAATAAATATTAAAGGAATACTAAATAATATAGGACTAATAAATAATAAATAAATAATTTAGGACTAATAAATAATATAGGACTAATAAATAATACAGGACTAATAAATAATAAATAAATGATTTAGGACTAACAAATATTAAAGGACTAATAAATAATATAGGACTAATAAATAATAAATAAATAATTTAGGACTAATAAATATTAAAGAACTAATAAATAATATAGGACTAATAAATAATAATTGGCAAATAAATAATATAGGACTAATAAATAATATAGGACTCATAAATAATATAGGACTAATAAAAGACTAATAAATCAAAGGATGAAATATGAAGAAATAAAAAGGAAAGAGGAAATAAAACGTGAATAAATAAATGAAAATAAAGCCAAGAAGGACAAAAAGAACGAATGAATAAATGAACAAAATGAAGTAATAATTTAAAAAATACAAAAAATGAACGAACGAATGAACGATGTAACAAAGAAAGCAAGAAAGAAGAAAAATGAAATATATAAAAAAACAAGGAAGGAAGGAAGGAAG